TATGAGAGAGAGAGAAGAGAGAGATCCAACAAGTTTTACACATATGCACAACTGGTAACCTTAGTGTACAGTGCCATCTACTGGTCAAGTGATATTAACACACAATACTATATAGTACATGCTGTTGTATCCCCAACAGCAAAAAACTTGGTATCCTTTCCCACTTGCTCCAACACACTCTGTATACAAAACTTCACTTGTGCTGCTATGGACAGCCACTGGTGACTTCCCTAGGACAAAGCAGCCAACATACTCCTGCACTGGTATGCTGCCTTCTTTTAACTATCTCCATTGCTTGGAGCAGGGAAAAAAAGTAGGGGCCTGCAGCCAGTAAAATTATATGTAATACCCTGTTAATAAGATGCAGGATGATAAAAACGAACACAACATGGAAGTGTCCTGCAGAACAGTGGTATTCACACTCTATAGCAGCCCCATGGAACTTGTATGTTGATTCGCCGGACTTTGTTAGGGTACAGTAAAGTAGTAAAAGACTATGTTTTCCAGAGGAGCTGGCATGTGGGCAGGGGAGTAGTATATATATATATATATATATATATATATATATATATATATATATATATATGAAAGCCTGGCAGGTGAGAGAGGAAGTGAAAGTGGAGAGATCTGGAGAGAGGAGTGCACAGCCTGTGGAGGAGGACCAGACCAGGTCATGGAAAGGGAGAAAGAGGCAAGGAGAGTCCACTGATCGTTGACCTTGCCTCATCATGGAGAAAGTTATTCTGTTAGCAAATGACCAGATAGTGTGTGGAGGACTTATCGAAAGAAAGAGAGAAAAAAACAGAGATTCTCAGATGCTATTCTGCGGGTGAGAGAGTCCCAAGCATTGTCAGGGACAGGGAACACAGGAACACTGACACTTGCTAAACCTTTGCTATATTCCTGCACACAGTTACAGGCATTGCACATAGTTATTAGAAGTTGTGGCCTATTTCCTTTAGCCACTGTTGTCTGACTACACTTAGCAACAGCCTTATCATCAGAACTGATAGCAAGACAGTCAGTACACAAGCCAAACCACCACTGTGTCACCATCATCAACACTTCACTCTGCTAAGGCCTTTTTCCTGTTGTGCCAAACGTCTTGTAGTCTAGAGAGGAGTTGTTCTGTGCCAACAACCACTTTTACCAGATTGGCCATTTTTTGCTTTAGATTCGCTAGTTACTACTGCCTTAAAAGGAACTTTCCATCTGTAAACTTGCTGCTGCCAGGGGTAGTATTATTCCTCCCTTTCTTCATTACACTGTTCCTCAGAGAGCTGCAGTTCACCCTTCCCTTCACTGTGCACCTACTTGGCCCCATCACGCACACAGAAGACTTTTCCTTGCCTTTAAAGAACATCGGTTGGTTTGGGGTAAAGAGCTCTTTTCCTTATTTCAGGCTATCTCCTTGCCAACAGGTCCCGAGGGCTCAAGGGGAGCTAGTCTACCTGCTTGATAGACCTAGCTGCTCACTGGAAACTGTAAGACCACCTCAGGTTGAAGGTATCGGGTTAGTTTCTGAAAAGCAGGCCTACTACTACTAACTGAGATTCTGTGATAAGTGTAGTCTTCTTCTTAAATTCAAGTTGACACAAGTGATAATTGATTTGATACATTCCAACTCTGTTTATGCTGTGTAACCAAGCCATATTAAAAGATTACTATAAACCTCTTATTGAGTTTACTTCATGGTTGGTATTTATTTCAGTTAAGACTGGACTGTGGTGTATGCAGGGGTTGAGCTTTCAGAGTGGGGTCCAGACCTGCAGGTAACCTCAAAATAAACCAGAAACTCCTAAGCGGGTAGTGCTACATATATTTGCTTTATGTAGTTCATCTGATGATCTATTTACTGCTCTGTTCCTGATACTACATAGGACAATTTGGCAATATTGATTGTGTTTCTAGTGACAATTTTATGGCAACAGAATCACTAAGATGCCACTCACCTTCTCCTAGGGCATTACTCCCTCTATGATCCAACCAGTGGCAGCTGCGTTTCAGTGATTCTCAGTAGCTGCTGGCAGACAGGCTTTTCTACTCAGGTTGTGGCTATTTTTTAAAGAATGATCTGTAAGACTTACTTCGTTTGAATGCACCTAGAATGCACTTAGCTGGTTAATCTGGGAGTTCAATTGGGCTTTGAAAAGACTGTCACTTTGACCTTAATTGAAAATCCTATTAGTATAGTGCTTATAATAAATATAAATATTGAACTTGGGTGGGGTTGAGGGGTGCATGGGATTCCCAAGGAAGCTGCAAATGTGAGGACAAACTCCTTAGCAACTATGTCCATTGACAAAAGAGGAGGTCTCCAGCCCTTCTGGTGTACCACCTCAGACCCCAGATGAATCCTCCTCTTAACCCAGCTGCCTGAGGGAATCCCTCGGCAAGGGGACTCAGAAACTGCCACTTTAGCAAAGCAGATGAGGATGTAGTTGGCTTTGCCACATGACTGCCCTCTCCTCTTATCTGGCCCAGGGGGTGTAGGATTACTCACTCTACCTCTCCTGTAAGCTTGTTAGGTTGGTGGCTGCCATCAGACCCTTTTTCTGGGCTGGCTCCCTCCCTGCTTCCCAGGCTGTCCTCTCTCAGGGGATGGTTGAGGTAGAGAGATTCTCCTGTCCAACACCTGCCTGTAGATAGGCCCCTCCCAGGCTCCACACTCCAGCCTCTCACTCTGTCTTTCCCCTGACACTACTCTTCCTGCTAACCAGGCTCTTCTTAAGGGCTGTCCTGACCCAATGCCAAGCATCCTGCTGGGGAATTGGTCAAGATCCCTTAAACATGCAGATCAGCCCCTCCTCACCCCCACCCACTGCCTTACAGAAACTTCTCAACCTTCTAGGGCAGGGGCAGGTATCAGGGAACTGACCTACAGAGCCCTCAGCCCTGACCCAAATTAACCCAGCTTACTCATATCAGGCCCTAGCTAAACCTGAGGGGCACTACAAGTGTATATGTATTTCAGCTGCATATTTAGTTGTTTTTCTTTTCCTGTAGATCAGCATTAATGAAGGTAACTATTGTATAAATAGTGGCTCTTTAGAGGAAACTAGTTTCAACCACAACCTGCACCCACTTGCTTCAAGCTAAAAAAGCAATGAGATATAGTATGCTTGTAATTTGCAATATGCTCTATGCATGCATAAGAGAAAATAGATACAAGGAACTGGCAGACTGATTGTATTATAACTAATTTTCATTCATATGTAATTTATGGCTGTGAGAATCTGAGAAAGACCCACACCTCAGGGCCAAAACTGAGCATACCATCCTCTGAATTTATAGAAACCCTTTGACAAGAAAGAATGCTACAAGAGATTAGATGTTTGTCATTCTGTCACTCAGTACTAGATTGTCTTCATTTTATCTTTAAGCTTCTTTCTCTCACACATTTTTTAAGTCAATATTCAATGAACAAAATCTTGCATCACACAAGAATGCAGATCAGATAAAATATACAAGTGAAAGTTCAATGGGCCTATTTGGCAAGGCCAAGAACACTGAAGGTGTACATATATAATATGCAGCAGCTCGCAACAACCAATCAGATTTCACTTAATTGTAGCCAAGCCAGCAAACCATGGCTACCTGATATATGTTCCTTCCCTTTACAATGCTTTTTGCTTTTAAGGTTAGTATGTTAACGTAGAGTGAGATGTCCAGATCCACAAGCAGTTTACTTTGAGCTATTCCTGAGCCTTACACATTTAAAAAGGCCAAAACCTAGCTAAAACAACGGAAAACTACTTATAGCTGAATTCCAGGTATAGCAATTTGTACATAATGGACCACATTGGTTTGTGACATACCTGTGGGATTCCCTTGGTGATTGAGACATCACCACTATGGCCCCTCCCCCTAGACCAATTAAAAAATGTTTTGCATTCACTGAGACAATGCAAAGTGACCTTTTGTGTTCAGAATGCAGCAGGGAAGCCACTAGGCACAGAACTGATGTTCAAGAGACAAGCACTAGGTGCATTTGTTCTAGTTAGTTGTAAAAGTCTTCCAATATTGTGTGGACTACTCATTGTTGGAGGGTGTTGAGGCCTGAATTTCAGCTTTGACTTAGCACATTTGCCACACTGGAATTAATGATTTTCTTACACTTAACATGGATAAATACCTCGAGTTCTAGTTATGGTCAACCACTTTATCAAATTTGCAGTGGCATAAAGGAGTCACAAACTGCCCTGTATCATTCACAAGGCAATGGAGCAAGTAAAAGGTTCAGTTGTACCGTGATACAACTGTTGAGAGGCCTAGCTCATGAGATGCAAAGAAAAGTGACCCATTGCTTAAACAAAGTGGTCTGGAAATACAGCCGTACAGTACATTGCTCAGCAGAAAGCTCAACCTACCATGTTAGGTTTGGCCAAACTCTCCGGAAGGAGGGACTAGGCCCATAGATATTATTATTATTATTATAACACAGGATTTTATATTGCGCCAACACTTTATGACATGAGAGCAGAGAGTACAGTTACAATACAGTTTGATACAGGAGGTATCAGAGGACCCTGATCGTTAGAGCTTACAATCTAAAAGGGAGGGTCAAGTGATACAAAAGGTGATAACTGTTGGGGATGAGCTGATGAAAAAAGTGATAGAGAAAGTGGAAATACAGTTGTTAGGTGGAGGTGGGATATGTCTAGATTTATACTGTGGTGGGTGTGGATGGAAATTACCAATTAATCAATCAGGAGTTAGCAATAGGCACACAGCTATATATATGGACCACAGGGGGCCCACAGATCTATGGACCACAGTGTCCAAAAAAGAACTTGAATACATTCCGAGTTTCTGAATTCAGGAGTGGAAGCAACTACATTCCAGCAGTTTGTTAAAGGAATGACAGAATGAATGACCCCTGATTCACTATTAAAGTGTTACTAAATCCACAACAGTAAAATCAGTCTGTATATGCAGCAAAGCATGCTTGTTATACTCACTGTAGAACCTAAGGGGTTAATCCTCTGCATTTTGTAAAAATCCTGTTTGATCCTGATTCCCCTCTTCCAGTCTCCCCCTCTTATCTGCTGATAAGACATATCGTGTGGAGTCACTCTGCACATGCTCAGTTTGGTGTGTATTGCTAGAGAGGTCTTTTTTTTTCTTGTGAGAGTGCATGTGATCAGCACAGGGCCAAATCTGCACTGGCCAGACAGAGGTCAGGGGTTCTGCATCCTCCTAGAGCAGAAAGAAAACACCTCCTTTAAGCTTTAACCAGTGCTCTGCTGAACACTGATCACAAGACTGCTCTAACTGTTGATGGGAAAAGGTATTTAGCAGTTTATATTTACTAAAAGAATTGTGTTTCCATGTAGTGTGTACTGTGGAAGACCAGATAGATTAAAATGTAGGATCCTGGGTTTAGCAACACTTTAAAGCAAATGGCTTTGACTTTTTTTTAAATGTTGCTGTTTTTTGCTTCCTTCTGTGTACCCTAACATCATTCCATGTTTACGCTTCCTCTTGAAGATTGTAGCACACCCATTATAACTGTAGGTTAGCATTTGTTTCCAAACCAGTAACACGCCTATAATGTTAAAATCCCAGGGTGGATCATTTAACAACCCCCCTCCTCTATACAGCAAAATTAGCTCCAGTTATAATCAAGTTTAGCAAATAATAATAATGACCAGAATGCAATGGAAATAGTGAAAATTGTAGTGTGCCTTTACATTCGTTGTCATTGCATGCTCATTGCATATTAGTACTCAGTGGGATAAAGAAGGTCCTGTTACATTCCGTGGTCACTGTAACCCTTTCATTGGTGGTCATTGAGAGGAACAATGTCCCTTACATTTGTAGTCATTGAATATTTATTATAGATATTTATATAGCACTGACAATTTTTTTGTATGCTTTACATACTGTATATTAAAGTCCCTCACGCTGTCAAAAAATAAAAGTCATCAGCTACAAAAACTGTAGCTGCTGACTTTTAAAAAACAGCCACTTACCTGTCCCTCAGTGTGTCCCCTGCAGCCCATTTCACTGGCCGTCCTGGATTCCAGGAGGCCAGCATCTTCAGTGTGGGCACCCGGCTGTGATAGCTTGCTTCACAGCCGGGTACCAACTGCCCATGCGTGAGTAGCGCTGCGCTTCATGAATGGTCCTGTAGTCTTCTGGGACCTGTCACGTGTCCCAAAAGACTACAGGGAGGGAGGACACCTTCCGCTTCTGATTGCCTAGGCGATCGGACCGGAAGTGGGAGCGGGTACCTGTCAAATTCGGGTACCCGCTCCCCCAAAGGTGCCAATCCTTAATGGGGAATGGGGGAGCAGTCCTTAAAGCGGAACTTCCCCTTTTGGGTGGAGCTCCGCTTTAAGAACCTTACAATCTTAGGTCCTCATCTCACATGCATACATACACATACTAGTGTCAATTTAGACAGGCGCTAATAAACCTACCTCTTTGGAGTGCAAGAGAAAACCAGAAACAGGAAGGACATGCAGACTCCATGCAGGTAAATGCTAACCACTATGCCGTTGTGCTGTGCTAAATACAATAGCTCTTATATTGGTGGTCCTTGTAAGGAAAAAAAAAATGCCTCTTACATTGGTGGTCATTATGGTCATTAGGTAGAATAGCTCTTACATTAGTGAGCATTGCTAAGAGTGCCCTGGTTCTTAAGAAAAATTACCATCTCTTACAGTCAGTAAAAAAAATAAATCAATGGTGTGAATGGACACGCTCCTATGCAGGCACTGCAGGACCCAAATGCCTGCATGCAGACAATGCACCACCCTATTGCCAGTCTGTGAACCACACTCACTGCCCCATTGTTGTTATGCCACTTTTCTAAGCCAGAAGGAATGAACCCTCTGCCAGCTGAACTCACCAGGGAGGTATCTTCACAGAAAAAAGAGAAACAGAGACATCTAAGTGCAGCAAAAAAAACAGATAATGTATTTCCACAAAATTGGCAACTCCCAATAGTGGTCAAAACTTGTCAAACTGGTGTCAATCGCTGTGCAACTCCAGTCCGGTCTCACTGCAAGCAGGTCTCCAATGCGCTGTCCTTGGCTGTGCTGATGGCTCTTAGCACTTTCGGGTTGATGTGGATCCACAGGGTGGGCTGATGTCAGCTCCAGGGACAGCAGTAGTAGGCTGGCACGTGTTCAGAGCATGCAATCCAGGAAGTGCATGGAGCCACTTGCACAGCCAAGGTCAGTGCATTGCAGACCTGCCTGCAGCGGGACCGGAATTGCACAGCAGTTGACACCAGTTTGACAAGAACTACTATTGTGAGATGCCAATTTTGTGGAAATACCTTATCTGTTTTTATTGCTGCACTTAGGTGGCGCTGCTTATCTTCTTTTTATGGCTCACACAGAGTCTCTTCTAATGCAGGCCATAGACGGGATGTTTATTGGCCGAATTGTCGGCCGATAAACAAAAAATCGGTTGTTGCTGCCACCAATGCTGCCACCAATGCTTACAAAAAACGGCTGTTTTTCGTAGATTTTCCAGCATGACCGCTAAAAAGAAACGAGAAGAACCGCAAAAATCGTCCGACGACATTGCCCCACTAACGGTGTGAATATCGGCCGATTTTTCGTTCGGATGAAAATTCGGCTGATAAACGACCCGTCTATGGCCTGCATAACTCTTTTTGAATCTGCTGCCACTGGGTCAAGCATTGTTGGAATATCCCTTAACCACCTCTGGACTCTAAGGACTTTACTTATGTTTTTTTTTACTAGCCATCATATAACACATCGGGACTTTTCCCTCGTAGTGAGCCAAACATCTCTCTTGATCTTCACAGACAGGCCCTTCCATGGTAAATCCTGTGCACTTATAGGATCAAATGGGGGCAATGCTGTAGGGCTCCTTGCTTCTGGTGTAAGGCCAAAGAAGGACTCCGAGTAGAAATGGCAGTGGATTATAAATGGAATGACGTGTGAATGGAGGGGTGTTAGCAAAATAGCAAGTAGATTTTTACAGTTATCAATGAAATTCCAAACATTTGAGTTCGAGGTGAGCCACAGAGATCAGGCTTTGTCTGCATCTCTTGTAAAAGTGAGTTTATAAATGATAGTTGTCTATTGAATGCAGCAATCACTTTGGTCTAATAAACATTAGTGACAGTAAAGTGTTACTAAACCCAGGATATTTACTATATATATATAAATTGCCAAATACCTTTTCTCATCAGCAGTATATAGCAGTCTTGTGACTTCTACCAGTGTCCAGCTGAGCACTGGTTTAAAGCTTGTAGGAGGAGTTTTCATTCTTGCCTGATTGTCTTATAAGGCTGCATAACCCCTGACCCTCAGTCTGGACCATGCAGATTGGCCCTGTTCTGATCACATGCACCCTCCCAAAGAAAAAAAAAACTTTAGCAATACACACTAAACTGAGCATGTGCAGAGTCACTCCTAGAGCTCTGTACTATCAGCAGATGTATTGGGGACAGTAGAAGAAGGGGAGGATCAGGGAAGACAGCCTTTTTACAAAATTTAGAGCATTAACCCCTTAGGTTCCACAGTAAGTATAGCAAGCATGCATTACTGCATATACACACTGATTTTACTGTTGTGGGTTTTGTAACACTTTAAGATTGCCATCTTTTCTGGGAAAAAAACGGCCAGCCTTATGATGTTTCCTATAATAACATTGGCAACAAATCCTATTTTTACTGGCCAGTTCAGTAAAGCCTTGGCCAGGTGTTAACGCTAGTTGCATTGAATATTTAGTAATAAATAATAAAAATTAAAAAAATATAAAAAAGAACCTGCAGATGAGCAGCTATGGCAATAACTGGATAGGATTAATCCACAAAAATGGCTGCAGGCACACTTGGTGACAGGTACACTTTAAGTGAGAGCAGACACGGCAGCTGGATTAATATCCCGTGTTATTTCAAAGATGCTGTATATTTAGTAAATAGATCTGTTGCCAAGTAGTGCGCAGTTAGTAGATGAGTCACATTCTTTGTTCATCAGGTAATACCACCTGCATGAGAACACAGCATAGAAGACTGGAACTTTTCGTCCCTGGGAAGTTGTGGCACAGGGGGTGTGTCAGCAATATGATATTGAAGACCTGTCAAGCTGTGAGCTGCGCTCTTCCCTGCCTATCCTGATGTGTGACAATAAATATGAAGAGCCAATAAGAATGAGACAAGTGTAATTTATGCAGGTTGCCCCAAGCCAGGGAGAGACAAGAAGCAAGGTTTACAGACACAAGCCTGTTCCAAAGAAAGTAAAGGGTAATACCTAGTGCTAGTGAGAGTGCATACGCCTTCCATAAAACCCTTTCTATTGGATGATAGCGTGCCATCTGCTGGCCAACAGTGAGAAGTACAGGTCTAGAATTATAATTCATAAAGGCAGCAGAGAGAACAAAAATGACATACAGATGCAGCAACCTTTCATATTTCAGTAGACTGCAGTCTGATCAGCGAACCTATTTTTGAATGCTTGGTATGCGTTACTACGGTGCTCCCTAGTAAATACATCCATCCATGCACTGCCCCTAACTCTGAACCACAAAGGCAGCCATCATTTAGGAATCTTTAAAATGAGTTAGATTTATGGAGAAAATAAAAGTAAGACATACCCAATATTTACTGTATACATTATCAACAAACTTTATTGCAGTTCTTTAGCTGCTTATGTTCTGGAAATACTGAGATTGGCCATTCCAGGGCGTGTTGCAATCTTTTCAAAGAGTACTAAGAGTTCTTTATAGTTAATGCCTGTTTTCTGAACTTGACAACAATTTATTTATGTTCTCGATCTGAATAGATCACTGGCAAGAAATGCTTTCAGTACACATAGAAATCCACACAGGAGCTGCCTAACCAGATTGAAAGTGGAGTTCCACCCAAAAGTGAAAGCTCTGCTTGTTTGCCTCCCCCCCCCCCCCCTCCACTGCATTATTTGGCACCTTTTGGGGGGGGGTGGGTACCTGGTTTTTGACAGATTCCCGCTCCCATTTCTTGCTCATTTCGCCGTGGTGAAGTGAGCCGGAAGTTTGGCCCCTTCCTTCCTCCTGCAGTCCCCTGGGAACTTTCACAGGTCCCAGAAGACTGCCGGGCCAATCAGGATGCGCAGCGCGACTCGCGCATGCGCAGTGGGCACCCGGCTGTGAAGCTGCATGCCCACAGATGCCGGTGCCGTGGAGAAAGAAGGAGAGAAGAGATAGTTCGGGTGAGAACATTGCTGGATCCTGGGACAGGTAAGTGTGAGTTTATTAAAAGTCAGCAGTTTTTGTAGCTGCTGACCTTTAATAAACACAAAAACGTCTGGAACTCCGCTTTAAGCTGGCCATACATCTGAAAAGCTGATTG